AGTAAGTGAATCTGAAGCCTTGTACCTGGGTAGCGGAAGCTATCGTACTGGAATTTGGAATAAGAGAAATAGAGACCTGAGAGAGGTCTAAGGAATCCTCTTGTCCACCTGCCGTTTCACAGCTGAAGGCATCCAGGCACAGAATAGTCTAAAGAGTTTTCAGAGATCGCACAGCTCTTAAAACCTGCGTAACCTGCATATGTCTTCTGCTTCATTGATAAAGGTGATGAGATGGTTGGGCTTAATAGGATCTTATCGGGCCTCAATATACAAAGAAGCAAACATTAAAAAAAATTGATTTAAATACAGTATTACTCACTTCCTATAGATTTTTGTTGGCACCATAGTTGAATTCCTTTAGAAAACAAAATCCTAGCCCTGGAATTAATTCGAGGAAGCAGATGGGAGTCCTGGGACTTTCCTAGAAACCTCTGCAGGGCTAGAGCAGGGATTTCCCGGAGGTCCTGGTGTGGGAAATGAGTTTGGGTGATCAGAGTACCCGAGCCCCTACTGAGTAAGAACCAGGATGGCCTCCTGTGAGGAGGGCTTGTCGTTTGAGCTCATGTGGTCTCCTCCATGTCCAATACGGAGCAGGGCACCAGATTGGTCTTATCTTCATTTCATTCTCCCTTGCCATGAAGAAATGTTTCTAACTGGCTGTTAGGAAAAAATAAATAAAATCTACAGCCCAGAGTTTGAGAGTAAGATCAGGGGTAGATATTTTGACTTGGACGTTTGTTTTTGTTTTTCTGCCTAGAAATGCTTATTGTGATTGCAATCGATTATCCTAAAGAGACACTAGGTATTGCCCCTGTTCTTCTTGGTCCCCCACATTTCTCTCCATGGCATCCTGTTTCTCCCATTTGATTGGGAGTCTCAGTTGAGTGTCCCCAACTTCCCTATCCCGTCCCCTACATTGATAGCTCATTCATTACCAAGTCCCTTCCACATTCTTCTCTGATATCTCAGGGAATTATCTTCCTGTCTCGGTTCCCTCTGCCCGCTCCTTACACCAAGTCCACATTACAGTGATAATCTCCCTGCTTGACTCCTGGCCGAAAGTTGCTTTCTTCATTTTAATCCATCTTCTTTTACGCTGACAGATTAATATTCCTAAAATTCTGATTCCACCACATCATTCCTCTCAAGAAATCACGGTGGCTCCCCAGTCTTCACTTCTATTTAATTCTCCAACCGATGTTTTTGGGCATCTGCTTTGTGCCAGGGACTGTTACTGTGTGCTGGGGCTTAAACTAAGAACAAGACAATATCCTTGCCCACCATTTGTTGACAGGCTAGAGATGATAAATAGCCAGCCAGGAGAGAAAGATACGTAAAGAAAAAACCACAAAACAATGCAAAACATTGGGGGCGTGGAAAACGTCAAGGAGACACAGATGAGGGAGAAATTTTTTCTGCATGGGAGGAGCTAGGAAAGTTACAGCTGGGCTTTGAAGCATGAGGAGGAGTTCAAGGAAATGGGAAAGGCTGGAAGGAGGGAGGGCATGCCAGGCAGAGAGAAGAGCTTGAGCAAAGACCTAGAGATGTGAAAGTGCTGGTATGGATGGTTAAATCAAGGTCATTCTTCATCTGGGCATTTAAAACTTGTCTTAATTCGAGTCTACTTTATTGATCCAAGAGCAGCCCAACTCTTTCCTGCTTGAAACCTTTCACTGCACCTACCTAGTCTCTTTATCACAGTTTTGTATGACCCCACCCCAGCTCAGAAATTCGGATTTCGCCTCTACTAATCTAAATTTTGCCAGAAGTGTATCTCACCCCTTCTTGCACACACCCACCTCTCCCTTGCTGAACCCATCTTATGTGCTCCCCTGTAATCTGTTCGGTCTGGACATGTTCTAGTGGACGAGCCCCATCTCCCCAGCCACCCTGGTTTCTCCAGAGCAGCCCCTTGGCTTCTCCTGGGGCCTATCCCAGGCTGTGGACCACAGTGCCAGCTCGTTACCAGCACCAGCAAACTTGAAAATGGGATTGGGTTTGACCTGCCACCCCACTTTTCCCTTCTTTCTCCTCTTCTCTCACTTGTCCCACTTTTTATCTTTCCTTTTTTGTGTGTGTAGAATTGTGATATCTATTTACATATGTGTGGATGTAAAGGTTTCTTGTGTGTTCACTGATTGTGTTCTCTGTGACAATAATGGATTAGCAATGGGAGCTAACGCCTGACCAGGCTGACACTGGGAAGGGGGGCTTCCGTGGGAGGCTCTGGCTTGAGGCTGCGTTGCTGACTCTTGACTCCTTTCAGGACCCCACTCCCTTCACTCCTCCTCTGCAGGACCTGTGGACTGATGCTGGGACACCCCTCATCTTCTGGGCCTGATTTGCCCTTGTTTCTTTCCCCAGCCCATCAAAACTGACTTCTCTGGTTTCTGGAGCCTCGCTGGCCCGATGAACTCATGCAGGTCACGTTTAGTGAGCACTGGTATGTGCTATGCTTGGTGCTTTAATCCACCCAGCAACCTGTGACCCAGACATTATCATCCACATCTTACAAGGAAGAAAACTCCAGCTTCCTTGCCTGAGGTCAACAACTTGGGTTTTGAACTTAAACTTAGAACCTGGCTCTCTAAGTCTGGTGCTCTTTCCACTATATCATTATTTCCTGAAAGGGTTGTCTTTGGAGCATCTAAATCAGAATTAGGATCTGGTGGGAAAAAAACCAGATTCCAGGATGGAGGCAGGGCCTTGGAATTGGCATTTTTAAGACTGCCTCAGGTGATTCTTCTGCGTGTTGGGGTTTGAGCACCACAGCCCTAGGCTGCCTTTACAATGATTCAATGTTCTAGTGACAGGTGGTGTGTTAATAAGCCACTTTATCCCAGGGGGCACATGCTTTTCAACAGAGGCTTTGAGCTTGACTCTAAGGAGTGAGCAATGGAGCACTGTAGCCCGGGCCAGGAGGATAGCCCTCTTTTGGTCAAAGGGGTCTTCAGTTCAGTCCTGAAAGCATACTCCCCACACCTTACCTGCAAAGGTATGTACGCCCAGCCCCCATCGGGCTCACTGTGAGTTTATTTCTGGGCCTGAGCAAGTGCTGAGGGAAAAGGATCAGGGTGGGTTGGTTTGGGAGCCCCAAGTTGCCTGGGATAAGAAATGGGCTGAATATTGCAACCTTATATTCAAACCCAGCAAATGAACACTCACCGCTGTGCAGTAACGATGATAATGAATTATCCATTCAACATCCTCTCTACTCTCCTCCCCCAGTTTCCTTTTAGATTCCTAAGGACTAAACTAAGAAACAGGTAGGCAGTAGTTTTCTTTATTGATGGTGCATTGTCCTGGGAGAGTGGTCTCTTTCTGCTTGTCTCTTTTTCGCTTTACCTAATCTTGCAATGGAATGTACTGTGTGCGTTGTCTTCTCCGATGAGCCTTGGCTGAGCTGATCACTTACATGGCATTCTCCCTGGCAGTATTCTCCCTTAGCTCCTCTCCTCTTGGGTGTGGTCCAGAGGACAGAGAGACAGGCTTACACTGCCGTGTCTTGTTCCACGAGGGTGGCACTGGGCAGCCCACGACCTGGGCTGGGCAGCGGCTGGGCCTGCTCCACCCTCCCAGGCAGCTGGCCGGCCGCCCGAGGGCTGGCCAGCAGTGAGGACAGAAGTAATGAGTGATTAATGGGCGCCCCATCTAATCTCCTGCCAGGGGAAATGAAGGGCCAACCGTGGGCTGGGGCTCGTCATGACCTGCTCCAGGTGGGCTTGGAATGTACCCAGCTCAGGATGGGGCTTAAGGCTTGAAAGACGAGAGGAAATGAGATGTTAACCCTTTAGGCTGAGATGTTAACCCTTTAGGCCGTGGCCCTCTGAGCCCCAGCAGGGAAATGGCAAGGGAATTATCTGCAGGCATCTGATGAAAGGGGAGCATGGCCTTTGATTTATGGCAGGGATGCAGCCTCATGACTACCAGCGGGGTGGAGTGACAAGCCACATCTTTGACTTAACCATTTTTCTTGGAGGCTCAGTCAAGAGAGAGAAGATTAATTTCTTGTGAAAATGGATACACCGACTGCTGGGAGGCTGCTCTACCTGCTTCCTTCTTGGAAGCCTTCCGATCATATCAGCAAGTTACCAATTTGTATTTGCCACACAGACTTTTCCTCCTAAAACACAGTGCCTCTGACCGCTTGTCATTTCAAGGAAGATGGAGGAGGGAGGCTGGCACTGGGTGGTCAACGTCTCCAGCAGTGGGGTCCACCTCCGTCCCCAGGTCAGGCAGCAGCGTGATGCTGAGGGTGGGAGCCCTTGGAGGCAGCTCCCTGAGTTCTGGCTTGGCTCCACTTGGCTGTGGTCCCTGCACAGTTTCCTTAGCCTCTCGTGCTATAGGTCTCTGTTTGTAAAATGGGGGTAATAATAATACATACATGTAAGATGCTTAAAGCAGTTTCGGGCATGTAGGAGTGCCATGTGGATGGCAGCCATCATTTTTTTCTCACCTCTCTAGTTGAATCCAAAGACCACGTCTTCTCTGGGAAGGATATAAGTGCTTCTCTTCCAGGTCTCCAACTTGCTTTGAGTGAACTGGCGACAAACCCTTTGATTGATCTTGCTTGTTTGACCCCTGACCTTCACATGCCTTGAATTCTGGTCCTCTCGCCCCTCCTTTGCCGCTGGCTCCCTGGCCTCCGGCTGCCCTTTAGATTACACTACCGTGCCCCTTGTCCCCTGCCTCCATGCTTGGTGGCCAGACCTGGTGGACTGGGCAGTGAGGCCTGCCTGGTCCTCTTGTGGCACGGCCACTTCTGTACCAGCTCTGCCCATTGCCAGCCTTGCTGTGGCCTGACGGCCCCGAGCGCAGTGGCTGAGGATAGAGAGGGCAGCTGCCTTGAGAGCAAACTTAGGAGCTGTGGAGACAGACTGACCGGGTTGCAAACCACAGCTCTGTCCCTTTTCTGGCTTCTCTGAGCTCCCATTGCCTGACCCTTGATGGAAGCTAATAATAGTCACATTTATCTAATGGTTGAGAAGAGGGTCAAACCCGACAGTGGACATGAGGCCCTTTGAGACTGTGCGGGGGAGTTTATTGCTGGTTATAAGGTGAGCCTTGGGGGTGGAGCTGTGTCTTCATGTTTTGAAGTCTTATTACAGGGTATGCACTGACATTCCAGCCTCTCGCTCCATTTGGTGTCTTTTCTAGAACAGACAGGTACCCAGGCCCTGCTTGACTTTTGATGTTTTAGTCAAGGCCCAGGGTTTCATTTTGCTTAAAGTTCAAAGGATCTTCTGGCCAGCTAAGGGAGAAGGAACTCCCGTTTACAGAGTTCCCTGTCAGGTACGTGGATTTACCTGCATTCACTTATTTAATCCTCTCAATAATCCATGTGAACTAGACATTAGTATTCCTAGTCTACAGCCTAGACAACTGAGGCTCGGAGAGGTTAAGGAACTTGCTTGGGCTCACACAGCAAGTAGATGTCAGAGTGATATTTGAATTCCAAGTCATCTGACTCCAAAACATGTTCTCTGGGGGAACCAATGGGCCAGTTCACTGACTTCAGTCTAATTGTAACCCACTGAAAAGTCTAATTGTAACCCACTTAAATTTTTTTAAAAAATGAGATATTATTCGCATACCATAAAATTTACCACTTTAAAATGTACAGTTCAGTCGTTTTTAATTTACTCACAAAGTTGTACAACCATCACCATTATCTAATTCCAGAATATTTTCATCACCTCAAAAAGAAACTCCATACCCATTAATAGTCACTCCCCACGCCTCCCTACCCCTGGGCCCTGGAAACCACTAGTCTACTTTCTGTCTCTATGGATTCTGAACATTTCATATAAATGGAATCATATGCTGTGTGGTCTTTTGTGACTGGCTTCTTGCACTAAGAATAATGTTTTCGAGGTTCATCCATGTTGAAGCGTGCGTCAGTACTTCATTCCTTTTTATTGCTGTGTAACCCACTTTTAAAATAAAAAGTGAGGCTGGGCCTGCCCCGTGGCTTAGCGGTTAAGTGCCCATGCTCCACTACTGGTCGCCCTGGTTCGGATCCCGGGCGCGCACCTACGTACCGCTGCTCCGGCCACGCTGAGGCCGCGTCCCACATACAGCAACTAGAAGGATGTGCAACTATGACATACAACTGTCTACTGGGGCTTTGGGGGAAAAAGAAAAAAAGGAGGAGGATTGGCAATAGATGTTAGCTCAGAGCCCGTCTTCCTCAGCAAAAAGAGGAGGATTGGCACAGATGTTAGCTCAGGGCTGATCTCCCTCACAAAAAAAAAAAAAAAAAGTGAGGCTGACTATTTGCTTAGAAAAGGGGTGGAGCTACAATCCCAAACAGATGCAACACAAAGGGTGCTTACTTTTTACTGTGGGCAGATGTGAAGGAGCTGTAGAACCGTGGGCGGGTGGAGTGAGTGCTGCGGCCTGAGTGTGGGGTGGAGGGGGGTGGGGACGGGCTGCGTTCCCATGTCTGGGAGTTGCAGGGGTGCCCGGCTTCCTTCCTCCGGACGCCATGTTGTGCTGCCCTTGGATGGTGCCGTTGGAAAAGCCTATTGGGATGTGTCCTGCAGAGGCGGTGTGGGTGCAGTGGACTCCTGCCCGGGAGGAATGGGCTAGAGGGTTTGGAGCCGTCTTTGCCACAGTCCGCCTCGTTTGGGTGCTGTGTGGACATTTTAGCCCGGGCACAGTCTGCTGCATTGCTTTTCACTCCAGGTGGACCCTGGTGTCAAATGCTGCATGTTGATGACAGCATTGCTGATTTGCTTTCTAAGTTTTTAGATGTAATACTTTATTTTTTCTGATTACAAAGGCAAGGTATATTTATTGTAGAAAACTTTGGAAATATAGAAAAACCCAAAGAAGGAAAATAAAAATCATGCCATAATTCCCCAACCAATAATGACACTTATTTTTAATGTGTATCTTTCTAGTCTCTCTCTGTCTACACACACACACACACACACACAGTTTTTTAAAATTGGTGTCATGCTGAACATATTGTTTTGTCCACTACTTTTTTCACTTAACAATACATAATAAACATTTTCCCTGTGTACTAAATATTCAATGGTCTTCCAAAACATGATTTTTTTAGTGACTGCAGAGTATTTTTAAAAATATTCGTGTTTGCTTAAACAGTCCCCTGTTTTTAGCCATGTTGGTTGTTTTCAGTTTTTTAAGATTATTTATAAATAAAACTGCTTCTTTTGTGCATTTTTTGTACTTATATTGCTGCATAGTGCTGTTTCTCAGACAAAAGACATAAATACTCTTAAGGTATTTGATACATAGAGTCAAACTGGCCTTCCAGAAAGACTGTATAATTTATAATTCCACAACAGTGTTATTTTTTAACTTGAGTTTCACTGTATATGTAACTTGACCAAAACATCCCTCTATCCCTCCCTTCCTCCCTCCTCCTCGCCTTCCTCCTTCTCCTGTTCCTCCCTGCCACATAGCTGCATAGTACACTAACTCCTTATATTGCTCTGTCTTCTCCTTGATATTTGCCTATATTTGAATTTAAGCATGTGCACATTTGTCTTTTTCACGTAGAATGATGTTGTGTAAACATTTCTCTTGACCTAACCAGCGTTCCCATTTTTAAGCATAATAACAGTTTCCATCCTTTTGCTCCATCATGGTTTCCTTAGCGATTCCCCACCCTCTGTTGGGGTGTTTCTAGTTTTTCCCTAATCAAAAAATTAGGACGACTAACATGAATGTTCAATTTATGGTTATTTTTTTTTCCGATCTCATGTTCCATTTTGGAAAATCAGTTCCCCGGCCTATAATTACCAGGTCAAAAGCAGGAGCTGGTCTAATAAGGTTAATGCTGCTCAGGGGCTCTTCAGAGAAAGTGCACCTGGGAGGCCCAGGTGAGCGTGCCCAGAAACAGAATGGGTGCTTGTTTTCTGCCTCCCCTGTCTTTTCCTGATTAGGTAGTTCTTTCCTCAGGCTTACATCCGAGGAACTCAACACCTTGCTCCTAGCAAGGGACATAAGAGGTGCTATGAGGTGGAGACTTGCTGAGTTCCATACAGGGAAATTATGTCAGTGTTCACATATAAATGGAATCATTCAACATGTGGTCTTTTGTGACTGACTTCTTTCACTGAGCATAGTGAAGTGGAGGGTCTTGGCGACTTCTGGGATTGTGCTAATATGCTTTAGTGGTTCTGCATGGGCATCGCTATGCATTCATTCACTCCTGCATCCAGTACTTTCTGGGCCCCTACCATGCATCAGGTAGCAGCACCCTGCATTGTACACGGTGTGAATTCCAGTCCTGATTTGGCCACTTATTGCCTGCGCGGCTTATCCCCTTTGAGCTTCAGTTTCCTTGTTTGTGAAATGGACTGATAATCAGCGTCCATGCCACAGGAGTGAGAGGAGACAGCATATGGACAGTGTTTGTTCATTTCTACAACGAAACAAAGGGCCTACTATGTGCCTTAACGCACACTGGAACATCTGGCCGTCTTAAAGATAAAGAAGATGGGCTTCCTGCCTTGGGGGGTACTTACAGCCCGGGAGGGGGCAGGCAGAGAGGATGGTCTGTGTGATAAACATTATGCACTAGGAAGAATGGGGGCCCAGAAAAAGGGTGCCGCGCTGAGATTGGTGGGAACTCAGAGAGACTTGAGAAGGGCTGCACCCTAAAAGGGGACAGTGCTGTGCGGTGAGGGAGAAATGAAGTGGAATCCTGGTGTGTTTTATGGGAGGGCTGTATTCTTGAAGACCTCACAGAATGCAGATCTCTCGTAATTCAGACTATCTTTTCTCGACAGAATAAGTGTAAAGAGCGTGTGTGTGCTTGATACATTCTCAGAATGCATAGTTTTGCTTTAATGTTGCTTTTCATATTGTCAGTGTTATCTCTAACATTGCGCAGTGGGCCCGCTCATAAATTGCCCATTTAGTATCTCATGACGGTTATTTGGCTTTCTCAATAGCCAAGCTGGTGGTGGTGGTTGTTATCATCGTCATCTCAGTGTGTTTTTAATCTGGCACCACCATTTGACAGACTGTCTAGATCAGGGGTCGGGAGACTTTTTTTGTAAGGGGCCAGAGAGTTAATACTTCGGTTTTACAGGCGGTATGGTCTTCGTTGCAACTAATCAACTATGCCTTTTGAGCACAAAAGCAGCCATAGACAAATACATAAATGAATGGGCAGGGCTGTGTTCCAGTGAAATTTTATTTATGGACTCTGCAATTTGAATTTCATATAGTTTTCATGTCATAAAATAGTATTCTTTCAGTATTTGTTCAATCACTTGAAAATGTGACAAAAATAGGCAGTGGATCAGGTTTGGCCCACTGGCCAGAGTTTGCTGGCCCTTGGTCTAGATGACTATAGGATTTGAAAATTATTTTAAATTGTAAAAAGAGTGAATGTTAAAATATTCTGATAGTCAACAAAATCACTCACAGACGTTCCAGTGCTCATAAGGGTGTAACTTAATTCACAAGTTCTATCAAAAGATTGTGGGTATTTATTAGCCTGGGTGATACCAACGAAGGCAATTACTTCAGCACAATTTGTAATTCTTTAAGTAGTTATTTTAATGAATTTAAAAACTTAAATCATATTATTTCAAAATTTAGGCATCAAATGACTTTATTAATATTGTTATATCATTCTATTTCATGATTCAAATTGTATACCATAAAATTGTTCATTGTTGTCTACCATCCTGGAGTCTAGTAACTCTGCCTGACTTGCAACAGCCTGATGGCCTGTGGTAATGGCTTTGGATCTTGATTCTGGCTGGAGTATTTATTGCAGAAGCCAGGGGAAGGCATGGAAGGAGCACCAAGGCGTATGTCTGGCATATGGTGAATGTGGGATAAACTTTTGTTCCCTCACTTCTCTTTCCTTTCCTCCCCACCCAAAAGTTCTTAATATTTGATCAACTCCAAAACATGCTGAGCCTCTTTGAAATTGTTACTTTGGTTCTTTCCACATGCAGTAAAGTCACTAACCTTTGTAAATGGAAACAAAAACAAAGGCTGTTAGAAGGCAGTTTCCCTCTTGGGTCACCAGCTTTCCCTTGCCGGAGAATAAGCAGTGCTGTGC